TTTTCAGATATTTATCTAATAAAGTTATAAAACTATTACTTTAAGCGCTACTTGCTACGTTGGTCAGTTTCATAAACTCCCAGTCAAACGTTTGCATGACATTGTGGCTGCTGCTGAATGAAGGCATTCATCAGTCAGGAAGCGGTAACCCTATTTACCAACATGCTCTGCTGTGTTTGATGTAAAGAAGCAGAACTGATTAATTATTGGGCTTTCTGAAGAAGACTGTAACAAACCATTTTATACGCTAAACACGAGTTGATAAAACAGCTGGGTCACTGTGAGAGAGAAGGTTCCAGTAAAGACCAGTGAAGCAATGCTTTATTCAGTTACAAGCTGAAAAATGAGAGATTTATGAGGTCACCCAGCACTGAGGTGGAGAGGAAGGGCTTTGATGCCATGGATGTGGATCTGTGTCTGATTCCTGGTTGGGTTTAAAATGCTTCCCACAGAGACATTTATAAAGCAGCTTGACCTCCTGCTTCAGTGGCAGCAATGAGAACGACGACTTTATAGTGGACATGTCACCCCCTTGGTGTGCAATTTGCAATCCCTGTTTCCATGGAGACGATAACTAACACAGAGCAGGTCTCCTTGTTAAAGGGAAGGTCACTTTATTAGGTGTTACTAAAGCTACCTTTCCAACACCGAGGCATGCATACTGCACTAAAACCTAAATAATTACAGCTCAACCTGCGGTGTGTTTCATCCTCCGCTCGCAAACATGGAACCACAAGCTTAGCACCCATTAGAGAAGCAGACAGGTGAGGAAGAAGAGAAAAAGAGGCTTTCAGATCTATAAAATGCCTTAATGAATCCTACAGCACATTTGATCAAACTCACAGAGAAGCTCCAAGCTAGCCTGGATGTTTGCTGCATTTATTACCAGAGCAAACTGGCTGAAAGGATGAAATGAAAACCTGTTGATGCTCATTTGAATTTCACAGCTGCTCTGATCTATTGATCCTTTCATCACTGATCAGGGAGGAAAAGATGAGGCTAATATGAGCACAGCTGTCATTGGATGGATGGATGACCATCAGGACCACCAGCACCATCAGGACCAGCAGGACCATCAGGACCACCAGCATCATCAGGACCATCAGGACCACCAGGACCATCAGGACCATCAGGACCACCAGGACCATCAGCATCATCAGGACCATCAGGACCACCAGGACCATCAGGACCATCAGGACCACCAGGACCATCAGGACCATCAGCACCATCAGCACCATAGTTCTTACCCTGGGTGTGTCTGATGTTCAGCTGGTTGATTTGTTCAGTGAACTCGTTCTCCTCGATGGTTTCAGTACGTGGGACCGACAGCGAGAACCGTCTCTTAAAGTTCTTCATCTTGTTCATGGTATTGAGGAGCAGAATCTGAAAGAGAAAACAATTTTATTTCATTAAAGAGAAAAAAAAGCAGACATTTAAACCAGGGAGCAATATTTATTCAAACATGATCAGTCAGTATTAGTAGACGGCAGGCTGAAAGCTCGCCTTCCTCCTGGGATGGATCTATCTGAGCTGCTGCATCAAACACTGCTGTGTGTTTTTCATCGGCTAATGAGGCAGAAAGCAGCAGGAAAACTATAAATCAATATCTCCTCTCCTGCAGTTTGCTTTCCAGTCCCCTCCAGCCTCACTAGTTTCCTGTTTTTTACTACTTCCTTTCATCCTCCTCACTTTCTCTGCTCTGTCTGCCTTTGACTGATATCATTCCTAGATTTCCCCACCAGCCTTGGATTGTGTATGTGGGAGGAAACTCCGGTCTAGACCGATGGAGCCGTGTTTGTATCAAAGTGAGGACATTTCGCATGCAGTTAGACTAATGACTGAAGCATGAATTGAGTTTAGATTAAGGTTAGCTCTGTGTTTGATCCATATTATAGGGACATTACCAACATAGCAACATAAATATGCTCTTAAATACTCCAGATGCAGTAACTACATCTATGCCTTTTGTTTCTGAGATTAATTCTATTCTATTCAGTTTATTTCTAATGTTCGCCTTGGCTGCTGCACACTGGCTCACGTTAGCCAGTCTGCAGC